TAGTCAATCTTGCCACAAAAAAAGGAAAGACACAAACAAATCAATGCAATTATTAATGAAAAAGGCAATCACAATGGAAACCACCAAAATCCAGATTATAGTAACTATTTTAAAACCCTGTACTCAAAAACATTGGAGAATTCTGAAGAAATGGATAGATTCTTAGATATACTGTATATGAATTACTAAAACTGAAACAAAAAGATATAAAAACCCTGCATGTTCTAGTAACATGGAATGAAATTGAAGCTATAATACCAAAAAACCTCCCAACTAAGAAAAGCCCAGAACCCCAATGTATTCACTGCTGAATTCTATAAGAACTTCAAGAATGATCTAACACCAATACTCCTCAAACTCTCCAACACATTCCTGCCAGCTTGAACCACCAATGGTACATGCATGATTCTCCCATCAGGGGGCTTGTACCACTGGTGGTACTAACAGATCTAATCACTTTTCAAATTATTACTATTAATAATTAAAAATTTATTACTTTTTTCATTAATAAAATCAATGAAAAGCCTACTGGGCCAGGGATTTAGCTCCGTGGTGCCGCTGTCTGCCTCACAAGCAAAAGGTCCTGAGTTTGACTCCCAGTACCAAAAAATAAAAATAAATAATTAAAATAAAAAGCCTACAAAGGGACCAAATCTAGTTACTTGAATCTGAATAATTACTGGCCAAACACACATATTAATACTATTCATACCAATTTTAAAAATTATTACAATAATCAACAAATTTATTTCATTAAAAGGAAATTTATATTCATAAAGTTTATCAATAATTAATTCTCTAAATTTTAACATGGAAATCTTACAAGTACCCCACTGCTGGTATATATAATATGCATTTAAAACTGCTGTACCACAAGTTAGACTATGTATTAAGAAACTGTAATCTGATGCTATCTGGTCTGCTAACGCAACGTCTTTCCTTGAATTACTGTATTCAAAGACTTCCTGAGAAGCAGTTCAAGCCACTTGATGCATGTACTACCAATGTCTCAAGCCAATGGGAATGATTCACAGTTGGTTGAATCCATAGATGCAGAACCCATGGATATCAGAGCACCAATTGTTCTTTATCATCCACTTTGCCTCTCTCATGTGTGTGGGGGGGGGCGGGGCGGGGCGGGGGGACTTAGGGCTGAACTTAGGCCTCGCACATGCTAGGCAAGTACTCTTACAATGTGGTACACTCTCAGCCCTCAACTGTACTGTGAGTGAATTGAACGTCTCCATAAAGATATTTAAAAAGAAATACAAACAAACCTTTGTTTTTTTAGGGAAGCAATATATCCCAGCAGAGCCGAATCATGCAATGCCTTTTTCACTTATCCTGTATGTGTATCCTAAAGGCAACTGTTATGGCTTGTGTTTAAATGTCCCCCCAAAGCCTCATGCGATTCTATGGAGGGCTTTTTTAGAGATGGATGAATTTAGAATGTGTGATTGATTCATGGTGCAATGCTAGGCTCAAGGGAACTGCAATTAAGGATGTGAATGCTACCTCCACTAAATAGTCTGGATAAGATAAAAGGGGCAGAAAAATTAAGTTCCCTTGTTTGCTTGCTTTTGCTGTCTTCTGAAGCCATGAATTATTGATCCTCTGCCATGTGCCATCCTGCCTTGGAACCAACTGATTATGGACTGAAACCTCTACAAACAGTGAGCTAAATAAACCTTTTCCCCTTTAACTTTGGATATCAGGTATTTTGTCTCAGCAACAAGAGAAGTAAAGAAGACAGCTATGGAGACCCACTGAAGAGTTTTTAAATAAGGGAATGTCATGATTAGATATACATTTTCCAACATTTACAGTAGACTAGCAAAGAGCAAAACTGCACATGAGAGAAAAAAGTCTAAAGAGGGGATAATAGTGATAACAAGATGTTTGGAAATTAAAATCAATAAAACTGATGACACCTCTGAGAGGTAATAGTGATACCAGGTTTCTACTTTGCAAAACTGGATGTATAGTGATATCATTACAGAGACACGGAATAACAGAGATTTCATGTTATTGTAGTAAGTTTGTAAGAGGGATGAGTGTCTGTTGTGTCTGTATTTTAAGATGTCTTTAAGATCTCTAAATAAAATGTCTAGTAGACTAAGATAATATAGTTCAAGAGATCAATGAAAAAGCACAGGCTAAAGATATACATTTGGAAATTGTCAGTGTAACTGATAGTAAATCAATGAGAACAGAAGGTACAAAATAAGGAGAAATAGAAAGGGGGGAGCATTAAAATAGAACCAAGAAATAGCATTTAAAGAATGCATAAAAAGAAATGTCCTGGCAAAGATTGCAAAGTGTCCTTAGGAAAAAAGCAGGGTGGGTGGTAGGGTGTCACAGACACAAGAAAAAATGTTTCAAGGAGGAGTGGTCAGTGTTAAAGGTTGCTTTTCAATCTAAAAGAAGATGAATATGAAAAATGCTACTTGGATTTAGTGACATGCAGGTATCATTAGAGACCACTGAAAAGAACCAATCTCCTGGCACGATGGGGCAGAAAACAGACTGGAATGGGCTGAATTTTGAGTGGAAAATAAGGAAATGGAAATAGTCTAGTTCTGAAGGGGAGACAAATTAAATCTACAGCTAAAGAGCACAGCAGGATAAATGTGAATTTTCATTTTTTTTTTAAATGAGCAAAAATGTCAGTGACCAGGCAGAAGTTAAGGTTGCAGGAATAACGAGAGAATTAATAGTATAAGGTTTTTGAGTAAGAGAAAGAACCAGAGGGCAAAGGAAAGGGCTGTGTTTAGACAGGATTGACCGTTTTCTAAAGCAATCAGGAGAAATAAAGGGAATGAGAACAGCTGAAAATAAGATACGTACTACATCTGTTAGCAGAAAATTAAGGTAAATCTTGTCGAATGGTTTTTATTTTTTCTGAAGTGGAAGGCAAAGCCATCTGCTAAAAGTGAAAAGGAACATGGAGAGTCAGAGATCTATAAACAGTGGAGGTTTAACTAGCTGTCCAGTCAGATTTCTGTGGGATGCCTGTTTCTTGTTTTATAATCATTCTTTACTCCTTTCCCCTCTGCTATATACCCACATTTAATTATAGTTTTCTAAAACGAAATGACTACTTGAACAATTTTTCTGGTTTTATTATAATCAGAATATCACATTCAATTTGTTAATAACAATTGTTATCATCACATTAATAATAATCTATAATACTTCCTATTGGCTCCCCTGTTTAAAACTCAAAAGCAAGATTCATGTACTGTCTTACATGATGAATTTCCAAACTACCCACTATGCTTATTCATGAATTTTTCTTCCACATATCTAGAAGACATACCATATGTTTACAGAGGATGTTTTTTCCCCACAGTACATCATGACTGTGGTACTGTCTATAAAATGGCCATAACAATTCTTCCTTCTCATCCCTGTGTGCACTGTCACTATCACTGTGACTTAGCTTTATCTACCATCAGAAGTGGAGTCTGTTTCCCAGCCCTATCAATCCAGGCTGATCCTATCATACACTCTGATTACTGACTCTCAAAACGACGGCTAGTAACTTCCTAACCAACAGTTCAAGAGTTCTTGCAGCTCCTGATTGTGCCTCTTAGAATGTGGTAATGTGCAGTGCTTTTCTTTTTTGGTACCAAGGATCGAACTCCGGTCTTTGCGCTAGCGTAGCAGGCGGTGAAACCAGAGGTAAATCCCTGGCCCTAGAATGTGGTAACGTGACATGAAAAAGCTTGAGCTAAGGTCTGACAGGTGACACCACAAGGACAAAAAGCTCTGCCAACAGTCAATACCAACTTCCAGACAAAAGAGGGAGGTCAGTTTGGACCAGCAAGCCCCTTTTGAGTCTTTAGGTAATGCAGCCAGATGAGAGGTCCTGGTGTGATTAGGGAAAGAACTACCTGAGCCCAGCTGTCAATCCAAAGGCTGACCAATAGGTACTAAGTTATAGACAGATGGAGAGACAGGTCTGATGGATGAATCAGATGGATGGATGGATGGATAACAGAAGTTCTGGTGCTCTACAGTACAATGGGGTGAACATATATAATAATATGCTATATATTTTAAAAAGCTAGAAGAAAGGATTTTGATCACCACAAAGAAACAATAAGTATTTGAGGGAATAAAAATGCTTACCAGGCTATAAACATTACACAATGTATATTTACATGTAAAATTTTTATATATGTTAAAAATAAAAAATTCTAAACTGCCAATCATAGAATTGTGAGCACATCCGGGCTGGGGATTTAGCTCAGTGGTTCTGCCGCCTGCCTTGCAAGCGCAAGGACTCGAGTTCAATCCCCAGTACCAAAAAAAAAAAAAAAAAAAGAATTGTGAGCACATAAAAAAACTGTTTTAAACCACAAATTTAAAAACCTATATTTTAATTTCTTTTTTATTTTAAATTACTGAATATATAAAAATGGCATTTTTCTCATGGAAACAATCATAAGTAATACTGTTTACTTTTTTTTTTTTTTTTTTTTTTGGTACCGGGGATCGAACTCCGGTCTTTGAGCTTGCGTAGCAGGCAGCGAAACCACTGAGCTAAATCCCCGGCCCTAATTTACTGTTTACTTTTAATATTTATTTTTCACCTGAATTTAAAGCTTCTTTAAAACAAAAGTACCAGAGTTAAAGTCCTGAGGTTCAGTCGTACACTCATTTATATATTAATCACCTAGTATGTGCTAGGATCAGACACTGACCATATATTTCTATCGATGAACACGAGATTAAAAATCCCTGCCCTTGTAACGTTTACAAACTGTAGAGTTATAGATAATCCAATTCTAAAACATACTATCTTCTTTTTTTTTTTTTTTTGGTACCGGGGATCGAACTTGGGTTCTTGTGCTTGTGCAGCAGGCCGCGAAACCACTGAGCTAAATCCCCGACCCCTACATATTATCTTCTTACATACGCATACTATCATATCCATAATTTTCAAGGAAGAACGTGTAAACAAAAATGTATACTATACTGATAATCACTCTTACCCTCATGCCAAGCACCAAGAATCCAATCTCTTCCATTAATGGGTACTTGCTGACCTGTTGCTGAATCTTCTCAGATGAGGCAAAAGGATCATAGCTTTTTCGACCTATCTTTACATCCATTATACAAGGCTTTTTAAATTTATGGGTCACATCTTCCAGTTTTAGGTATAAATCTGTTTTTGAAGAAAAACCTTAATTAGTAAAAAGCAAACATATGACTACTCAAGTACTGTCAGTGGAAAACAAAATGAAGATATCTTAAAACAGAAAAAAAATTAAAATAAATCTAGAGTTAACGGTTATTAACTACCTTAAAAAAAGATTGAGTAAAAAAATTCATAGTAAGTATAAATATCACAGAGAAACTTTAGTAGGATATAAGTTAAATATATTCAACCATAGCAAAAGGTATAAAATAGATATAAAGTTTTAAGGGCATTAAAAAGGAAATGAATGAGCTTATTTAAAAATCTACTACACAATGCATTCATCCCCTTTTTGAATATAACTTATGCCATCTATGCCTCAGTAAGAGATCTTAGTATTTTAAAAGTTTACTCTTCACTTAAAATTTGAAATAAGAATAAGTCTCTCTCATAGAGCATAAACAGAAGTATAGGTTAAGATATAGTAAATCAATCTAAATGATTATCATTGTCAAATATACATTCTGGTCTTACTAGTTAGTTTCAAAGAGAAAACAAATACTTCGCTTTGCTTTACTTTTCAAAATGTTGATCTGTAAATCCCTTTGACCTGCTGCATACATTTTCCCACAGAAAACTTAAAATGGAGATTCACAGATAACATTATAAAAGCCCCAATTATCATACACAGATGAACTTCTTACAGTTTGGGCTTGAAAGCAAGGATCCAGCCAGGTCCAATGAGAGAAGGAAAGAAATTCTTCTCTCTTTTCCTGGGTAAAATAACTCAAAGTTTTGAATGAAATCATGATTCATGATGTTTTAAGCCCCTCAGATTTAAGTGGCATAAATCTTCTCCTTCAAAGGATATGAGATAAAGAGCTAAGTTTTATCCCTTAAAGGTAGGAGGAGGGTTTTGACTATGTCGATGTCAAGGCCAAATATGACATAAGGAACTGCAGCCCAAGAACAGTACTGACATACAAGGAGCCTTTCACACTCCTGACAGACATCTTCAACAAGGATAAAAGAACATACAATGAAAGGCATTGGGACACGTGGGAACCTTCTGATGAAAGAGCTGGAACCCACTGACGCTTTTATGCTCTAGAAGATAACCTCAGAATGGGAAAGGAAGCAGCACAGGACAATTCCCTTCAGATCCTCTCCTACCACCTCCAATCAACTGGGACAAAAAGGAAATACATCCATGCTCTTTCTACAGCTATATAGAATTTCAGCAACAAGGCTTGAATTTCAAATATCAAAAAAGACTAAAGATTCTAACACAGTGGATACTTGTCATTCACAAGTTATCATCATTAATTTAAAAACAAGACTCCAAAATTCCCACTGAGGTGAGGATGCGCATGAGAACAGTGACAGTCAACCCAGCAGCTATATCTCAGTGTAAGCTTATTTTCAATTTGTCAACTTGGTAGTGATTAAAAGCACAATAAAATGCTTCTTTATGATATGAGAGAAGCTACAGTTGAGACTTTGTAAATTTGAATATAAAAATTCCCATTTTTCCTTTCTCCTCTTGGAGAGGAGGAAAATACACAGGCAAATTATATTTTTGGTAGGAATATAATGTTTGCTGAATAAATGTTTGCCCTTCTCATTCCTACTGCCCTAATGGAACTTTGGACTGGGCCTTGCTCACACTACAATAAACTGAGTCATTTCTTTAGTAAATAGGGTTAAGTATCATAGGGGTTTCACTCTTGACATTTATTCTGACTAGCCAAATGTGTTTTTCTTTATCTTACTTTCAGATTCTTCATATGTTCTATATAACTAGAGTTACCAAATAATTGCTAGATTATTTATTAGTCTTCAGAAATAAAATCATAAATTAAGGCATAGTGAGGATTGGTTTGTTCTTGGAATTTGAGTATGGCTTGAATTTTAGGTGAAAATTAAGAATTTGAGATTCTCATTTCAATCTTTCCTTCTAAGTTACAAAAACTAAACACCATGGGCCGGGGATTTAGCTCAGTGGTGCTACTGCCTGCATCGAAAGCAAAAGGGCCTATGTTCAAATCCCTGGTACCAAGAAAAACAAAAACAAAAACCACTAAATACCAAACTTGCTTTAGAGATGTGGAGTTCTTAAAAAAGAACTGAGGTTATGCATCTATCAGCTTACCACAAGTACTTCTGAAAAAGGCAAACAGGAAAATGGGAGCATGATCTGAACATTGAGATTGTTACTGATTCTGTTATAAGTTGTCATCTCTATATAAATCTGGATATTAATTCACTCTGATAATGCTGTAATTCTTTCCATAGAATAAAGCTTAATTCAAAGTAGGTAAATCTTGGATTCAGTCACTTAAATGATCAAAGACATTTTACGACCACACCACCTCATAAGGAAATGCCACAGACTGGATAACAAATGACACCTTTTTAGCTAGGCCCCTCTAAGGGTGGAGTAGGAGAAGTATTTTTCCATTTGTAAGTCACAAGTAGACTGTGGATTCAATTTAGTGGTCAGTAACCAAAAGTTCCTTGAAGAGAGAAAATACAAAATTGAGTACTGTTGTAGGGTTGGTCTCAATCTTACAACATTGAGCTTCAATCTAAAAATGTGCTTTGAGTCATAGACAAAGTTGTTTTTAAAAACACTTGATTAGGCTGGGCGTGGTGGTACACACCTATAATCCCAGCACTTGGGAGGGTGAGGCAGGATTGCCCTTAGTTCAAGGTCGGCCTGGGTTACACAGTGAGTTCAAGGCAGCTTGAACTATACAGTGAGGCCTCATTTCAAAAAACCAAAACAAAACACTTGATTAAAAAGAATGTCACTGTGTACATTGTGTCTACCCAGTGCAAGAGCTATCCACAGACCCTTAGAAGTTTTCCCTTTAGAGTTACTGTTATGGACCCTCGAGTTAAGACCAGTCTGACATACAAACTTGGGTTATGGCCAGAATTTTGGTTTTAACTTACGACCAAAGTCTTGAGTTACAACCCGAATGCTGGCCACTTGTACTTCCAGATGGTCTGAAACAGATTTAACCGTTAAAGGGTTACTGGAGAAATCCTGGGCCAATGTCTCTCTAAGGAAACTGAGATCTGCCTATACACAGGAGAGAGACAGAGAGAGAGAGAGAGACTGACTTTGAAGGCTGTGTAGAGGAGTCTAAGCCTTGACCAACTTGAGTTACATCCAGCCCTCAGGAATGAACTGAGTTCATAAGTCAAGGGTCCACTGTATTTTGAAATCCAACCCGCCTTGGTCATAGTCACTGAAGCTGGAATCCAATACAAACTTAGCCAGTCTTACCAATTTGGAACTGAGACTCAAAGATAACATGATGGTGACCTGGGTCTGGGTCACTAACATATGCCCTAACATGTAAAGCCCTTCATGAAAAGTAAGATTCCTTTGGTGGGGCTAGCACAGGAAGGCAGAGAAGAGGAAAGGTTAATAAAATATGCAGAAAGCTATATCCCTGGTCTCTGGCAGGTTCTGGTTTCTAGTTCTGGTCCCATCTTGGTTGGGCTCAAGTGCATAGCCCTTGGCTTTCATAAGACACTCCTGTATCCTTAGAGTAATAAAGTCTTCCTTTTTGTTTAATCAAGCACAAGTCTTTTACTATAACTTACACCCAAAGAATCTGAACCAAAATGATAAGTTTAAAGCAACTGATTTGGAAACAGAAAAAAAGTTCAGATGTCAGCTCTATCATTTGTTAGCTAGCAACCTCAGAAGCATTTCTATATGCCTCAGTTATATGTAAAATAGAGATAATTACAGAATCTGCTGTAGGGTTAACATGAAGACTAAATGAGACACTGCATTGCAAAGTGCTTAATATAGTGTCAGCACTAGTTTCATAAATGAAGGTTAAAACAATCTACTCCTTCCAAAATAAAATTGTATACATTCAGTACATTACTATATAAGACACTCCTCTGAAATATATAGGTAAACAAAACAGATAAAAACCGTGCCTTCATAGAGTTGCTTTTTAAGAGTAGAAATAGCATTTTATTTAGTATAATCCCTGGCATGAATCTGGTACTCAATGAACATTTATTATCCGTTAAGTATACATGAATGCTGAACACACACACCATTGGTAAATACTAAAATGTGACTGTAAGATGATTCTCTAGAGTCTACTTTTCCAAGTAAGATAACTTTTTTCCCCCCAGCTCTGGAAATCAAACTTAGGACCTTGCACTTGCCAGGAAAGTACAGTACCACTGAGCTAAATCCCTAGCCCTCAGGTAAGATAACTTAATAACCACAAAATAAAAAGACAGTCACAACTCAGGCATTTGATAATGGATATTCTCCAATTCTAAGGCTAATAGCAAGCCTTAGTCTGCAGTTAAACATTAACAAAAATATCTATTAATTAGATATTTTTTTATCTCAAATCAAAAAATATGTATCCTGACTACAAAACATACTCAATCTGATTACCAATCTCAGGCAGGCCTTATAATTGCTCAACTATCATACTGTATTTTCCAAGTCAACTCATCTTTCTATCCCAAGATTACTATTTCATACTTCCTCAAAGTTTCAGCTGTTTCTCTATTTTTTAATTCTGAAAGATTAGATAATAGATGGTACGGATTATTGCAATAAATGAGTTTTAAAAGCTATATTAATAATGAAAAATGACAATGACAAAAAGAAAATGTGTTCTAAAGTACATTCAAAAGAAACCTGATGGATTAAAAAGATAAATATGTTCCACTTCTAATAGTTTAGGTTCACTGTGACTAAGGTCAAGAATATAAATTAAGACTACATTACTATGATACTTGAAAAATACAATATGATTGTCAGGTAAAAGGGCCGAAGACCAAGATCAGACCAGGCCACAACAAGCCTTTATTAGGGGAATAGATCTGCCAGGCTGTCTCTGAACAAAGGAGAGACAAAAGCAATATGGGTGGGGCAGGGAGAGTCTTTTATAGAGACTGGGGTGGGGTTTGTAGGGGCTGAGGGGGGGTTGAGTGAGGTAGTGACTAGGGAATGGAGGAGCCCATGATGTCACTAGGTGGCAGGAGGTGAGCGAGTATTAGGCTACTCTCTAGGGGGGGAACAGGGGCATACTGGGAAGAAGGGTTTATTCTTTGGTGGGAGCAATCATCTTGGCATGAAGTCACACAGGGGAGGGGGCAAGACATGATAAAAAGAGGGCAGCTACTATACATAATAACTGCTGAGGTGGTGGGAGACCTATCAATGATTATGTCTTAAGATGTAGTTTACAGGGCTGGGGATTTAGCTCAGTGGTTCCCGCGCCTGCCTCACAAGCGCAAGGTCCCGAGTTTGATCCCCAGTATCAAAAAAACCCCCCAAAAACCCCCAAAAATGTAGTTTACAAATACAGCAGTGTGAATATTAAAAAGGGCTATTTTTACATATATAAGCATGTGTGTATAAATAATAAAGATAGCACAACTAACTAGATTTACTTTTTTAAACTATGGAAACTCTCCTTAAAACAACTTACAAAGCCAGTCTTTCAGAAACCCAAGGCCTGGCATTTGTAAAGCCCATATCCAGGTAGTCCCTAAAGCTTAGTGCTGGTCGGTATTTGCATAATAAAAAGGACATTAGCTCTTCATAAATAATTGGTATTTCAAGAAGTCATAATTAAAAGTGTAGTTAAAGAGGTTATGGTCAATATTCTAACACTTATCCATTAATTCATTTTAAAACTATGCATATAATTTCTATGATTTTTTAAAAAGATTTTTTTGAGATAAAGATCACAAAAATAACTACCAGATACTATATTCCAAAATACAACACCTTATGCTGTTATAAGACTATCAAGTAAGATTTCTCATTGACTTTACCAACAACATTGTTAACATGCTCAAAATGTTTATATACTTTCATGATGTTGGTAATAGTATAAAACTATACAAGGTTACTCTGAATGAAGAAAACTTTTCTATATAATTATATATGGTTATCTTAAATTAAATATAAGGCTTATATTTGTTTCCTAATATATAAGGTACAAAAATATTTCTACAGCAAATTTTCTATGTTTAGAATAGTCTTGGATACTTAATGAAAGACAGAAAATTCCCCAGAATCAAAGGTAGAAAAATAGAAATACTCAGACTACAGAAGGAAAACAAAAACAATGAACAGACAGAGTAAAGATGAAATAACTAGTCATCCTTTTCAAAGTAAGACAAGGGGGAGGGCATTTAAAAAATTGCAAGATAACTTATTTAGATCCTAATGAATATTAATGATTCTATAAATTATGAAAATGTAGCTTTCAAGTTTCAGTAAGTTTTTTTGACCTCTCTGTCTGTAAAATCTACTAGTAGTATTTGCTACTGTCTTCATTTCTAAACCTCCTAACAAAACTGGAAAGGCCAGATGGGCAGCAAATGCCCTATTAATGAAGCTAAATGCAAAAGAGAGAAAATCTTGTTTTTTGTACCTACCAGCCATTTCTGAGAAAAAAAGTTGAAGTCGAGATGTGAGCCCACTAAATGGGTAAAGGGAAAGAGTAGGAAGAGACGTAAGTGCCAGTTTGTTCCAGTACCTGCTTCTTAAAACTTGACTAGTAGCAAGATCCAGAAACCTACCCACAAGGGCACAGATTATACTGTATTTGATACCTCTCAACTTGTTCAAATCTACTTGATGTTATACTTTTCTATGCTTCCAAATAACAGTCTCTAAAGGTTCCTGACATTATGTGTACTGGGCTCAAATATGTTTATACATGCATATAAACAAGATTTATTATATACATTTTCAAAGATAAGTGCTAAAAATGTTAATATTAAACCTACTGGTCATATTCAAAAATTAGATAATGGTGACTACTGTACAACTCTGAATATACTAAAAACCACTGAGCTGCATGCTTTATAATAGGTGTGTTTTATGGTATGTAAATTATATCTCAATTAAGCTGTCATAAAAAAAGAAAAATCACTATTGGTAAACACATTCTTATGCTTCAAATTGTTACATAATAACTTCATTGAGCAAGTTGGCTTTATTGTACTACTTTCAACATTTTACTATTTTGGTTTATAGTTTTGTAAAACTCTTGAGAACCTAAGATGGCTAAAAAAAGAAAAAAGGAAATAATGTATTTCACACTGTGTAAAATATAGTAAAGCAAACCACAGAATTCTACTAAAATTTAATAAAAAATTAGGTTTCATGGTCCTGTGACCTAAACATGTGTATAGGTTTGCCATCTTATATTTATTTCATTTACAATCAAAAGGGTAAGAACAAAAAGATGATCCTGTGATACCTCTAGCAAAATCAAACCTAAACAATCTGGTACAATTTTGTCCCTCTTCTTCCAGAGAAAATAAAGAAAGGTCAGAAAATGGGGCAAGGATTTAGCTCAGGAGCTCCACTGCCTGCCTCGCAAGCACAAGGTCCCAAGTTCGATCCCTGGTACAAAAAAAAAAAAAAGAACAGAAAATCCTGAGACAACTGTTGGTATTACTAGACCCCTGTCCTTTATTTGCCTCTTGCTTAAATTTTTTCCTCCTTTCTCTCTTTTCCTCGGCTCATCACCAGTATTTCTAGATATATTCAACCAAAAGACAGTTCACAAGATATTTTCATAACATACAGAATGTAGAACATATGCAAATTTATACAGTATTAAGCTCAAAAAGATGACTGAGTTAGTGAGGTTAGCAAAACATGTAAATACTAAAGGTAAAAGCTAAGTATTTCACTTGTGAAGTTAATTTCAAAGCAATATGCTGCTCTGAATCATAGATATATGCACACATTTGAAACTGAAAGACGTTTAAATGAAAGGAAGTAATATAGATTAAGCATGCTTAGTCCAAAAATCTGAAATCCAAAATGCTCCAAAATCTGAAACTTTTTGAGCACCCACATGACACACTATAAGTGGAAAATCCCACACCTGACCTCATGGGTCAGATCAGAGTCAAACCCAGGGGCATTAAAAATACTGTAAAAAATTACCTTCATGCTATAACGTGCATATAAAACATAAATGAATTTTATGATTACATCTGACTTCTATGAGTACAATATCTTATTATGTAGAGCAAATATTCCAACATCTGAAAAAAATCCTGAACCTGAAACACTTCTGGTCCCCAGAATTTTGGATAAGAGATACTAAATCTGAAGTTAACAGAGTCTTAGCTTTCTTTTTTTCTAGAGAAAATACAGAATCCTAAATACCCAAAGCAACCATCAACTTACTACAAAGGTTCGCACAGAGAGATATCATGATTCCCTATTAATGAAATTGGCACAAACTGGAGTCCACTCTCGTTCTACTCTCAAAATGAGATTTAGTCTACATCAGAAAAACATGAGGCTTTTATTTAACGTAACATCACTAAACTCTAACACAGCTCTGCAAAAATTTGTGCTTTAATAACACTATAGCTTACTCATAAACCCATTCAAGTTTGAAAACCCTTCCTTCACCATTCACCTTTTGTCAATAGGTAGGCAGGCTGCTCATTTAAGTTCTGACCACTCTGGCAAAAAGCTTTCAAGAGGCATATACTACTTCAAGTATTAACCAATGTTAAAGGAAAAAAATTTCCTTTAAAATACATTATTTTGGGCCAGGGATTTAGCTCAGTGGTTCCACCACCTGCCTTGCAAGCTCAAGGTCCTGAGTTCGATCCCCAATACAAAAAAAAGAAAAAAAAGAAAATAAATTACATCATTTTGTCATCTATGAAACTTCCCAGTGTTTTTCAAAAGATTACAATTTAAAGACCGGAGGTAGGGGATAAAGAAGTAGAATAGGAGACACACAGAAATTATTTACAGAAAATAGTTTTAGTATCTTTATTATTACTCATAATAGGAAAAGAAAATGCAATAAACTAGGAAAGAACATTAAATGCATACACTAAGTACTAGATATACTTTTATTCAATAATGAGATCAGTCACTCATATATGCCATTTAATAAAATGATTAAAAAAGAAATTATTAATAAGTTTAGTTATTAGAGAGGGATTAGAAAGAAAAATATATATCCCATGTTCTCATATTATATGTTGAGTTTACTTTTTAATAATGCCTTTTAGAAAGCCAATATCATGAATTAAAACCACAAGATGTATTTTTAAGAAAATATTACCATTTGGTGCAGTGGGAGGTGACCAGATACCATAATATTTTGGCAAATATTTTCGTAGCTCTAGAAGAACACCATCACTACAATCAGCAGCATAAACCTGAATCAAAGAGAAATATAACACTTGTTAATGTTTTATAATGCTTTAAAACTGCCCTACACATTTCTCAAATAAAGCACAATAATAATGAATCATAATTTATCTGGTAGGCATTCCAACTGGAAGTAAATGTGGAATAAGCAAAAAAGATTGCTATGTATCTCCAATGAAAACTACATATTACTTAGAGCCTATTCTTCTTAGTATCTAATTCTATTCTTTCACTATCCTTGAATTATTTTATAACCATGTAAGCTGGAGATAACTGATGCCAAATGTAAAATAATTCTTGTCCACAAACATAAAAATAAATTCTGACCGAAGGAGGTTCAATTAACTTCCTGCCACAACCCACAGAGAGAGGGAACTTACTGTCCACGTTTAAATTCATCTCAACCTCTTTTTATTTCATGCAATTTGTGCTTCTTCAATTTTCCTCTTAAGTTCTAATAGCTTAGGTCCTATTGAGCCTTCAAGGACCAGTACTCTTATCTGATACAAATTATTCAACAAAATAAATAAGGATAAGCTCTTTAACTCATTTTATGAACCCAAAGACACTTTATATCAAAACTAGATATGGATACTATATGAAGAAAACAATAGTTCAACCTCATTTATGCTCACAGATGGAAAAAAATTTTAAGCACTGAGTAAGCAAAATCTAAAAACACAAACATATGTTCAAATAGTTTTTATTTTGGAAATAAAAGATGATAACAGTATAGAAATTATAAGTTTCCACATTAACAAATTAATGAAAACTCACACAATCATTTCAATAAATACAGAAAAGATAGCTAAAAAACATTAAATACCCATTTGTGTTTTAAATTGTTTCTTAAAAGAAAAATAAAAAAGATTCTGTGTATTTTCCTGCCCCTGCCCCCCAGCCATGGCCACACACCTCCAATGAGATTGGCCTGAATCAACTGCATCCAGGGCCCCATGCCCTTTTGCAGCTGGGAGGCACCAGAAAGAGAACAAAGAGCAGGAGAAGAGTTGAGGTTAGCCATTCACTTCTCTAGTGACCTCCTTACCAGGTTTTATCTTGTCATAAACTTGCCTTCCCTGAGGGGTCCCAGTAACTATGTACTCCTTGGCCCTTCAGGCCTACAGATGCTGTTAATAGTTTAGATCTCCAATGCATTCCTAGGCCCATGTGTTAAAAGCTTGGGCTCCAGGCTGGTGCTGTTGGGAGGTGGCAGAACCCTTAGGCAGGACTAAGTGAGAAGTCCCACATCCTTGGGGGTATGCCTTGGGAGGGGAGTTTGGTAGAGGGGTCTCCCTTTCTTTCATTTTCTGTACCTGGTCATGAGGTGAACAGGTCTTCTCTGCCACATACTCCTGCTATGACATGGTGCTTCATCATAGGCCCAAAATTAACACTCAACTGACCATGGACTGAAACCTCCAATTACAAGCTAAAATAAACCTTTCCTTTTAAATTCTCTCAAGTACTGTTATAGTAATGGAAAGCTGACTAACACAGAAACTTGGTAGTGAGAAGTGGAGTTGTTGTTATGATCATAACTGAAGCAATATGGAAGCATCTTTGGAATTGGTTAATGGAAGGAGTATGGAAAAGACTGAAGGAGCAACTAGAAAAACTAAACAAGAATGTTTTAACAGGACTTAATAGGAGGTTCTGGCAGAAGCTCAGAAGACCAGAATGCTGACAGAAATGCGAATAGTAAAGGCTTTGCTGATGAGGTTACAGAGAGTAATGAAGACTCTCTTGGGAATTGGACTAGAGGTCACCCTTGTTACATCATTGCCCAAAGGAAGAAAAAAAAAAAGAAGCAGAAGAAGACTGCGTTATATTAACGCCCTTGGACTTTGTTGGAGACTAATACTAATGGTAATAAACCCATTTATCTTGCAGCGGATATTTCAAGGCAAAGCGCTCAGGCGGCAGCATGGGTATTAGTGGCCATTTTTGGTCAGATTTGTAGTAAGTGAGGCCACAAAGGCAAGGCTGTCTAGATTGGGTGCCCACTCCCTGCCACAGTGTGCCCCAGGACAAGAAGCAGTAGGATTTCATGTTTGCCCTACTAGGTTTTAGTCTTGCTTTGATCTGATCCTTTTGTCTGTTTTCCTATTCATCTCTTTTGGAATATGATTATTTATCCTGTGCTATTGTATCTTAGAAGTTTGTAGGTTTTTATTTTTACAGTGTCTCACAGTTAATAGTTTCTTGTGAGTCTCAGAGGAGATTTGAACATGGACTTTCAAGCAGTGCTGAAACAGTTAAAAGACTTCGCAGACTCTTAGAGATGAATTGAATGCACTTTGCACTCTAAGATGAACATGAACCTTTGGAGGCTAAAGGCAGAATGCTACAGTTTGAATCTTAAGTGTCACTGAAGGGCCCATGTGTTAAAGGCTTGGTCTCTAGCTTGGCACAATTGGGAAGAGTTAGAGCCTAGTGGGAGGTCTTAGCTCATTGTGGGTCTCCTAAAAGGGATTATAGGAGGCTGGTCTTTTTCTCACTTTCTTTTTCTGTACCCTTCATCACAAACTCCCATGAGCTACTACTGCCTCATCACACTGCCCAAAATTAATGGGGCCAACTGCCTGTGGGCTGCACCCTCTGAAACTGTTAGCCAACATGAACCTCTTCTCTTTATAAGCCAATTAACTCAAGTATGTTACAGTAACAGAAAACTAAAACTGATGGTATAACTATCTCTTGCATGTTGTCTCAAGGCCTGACCATACTTTTGTAAACAATCTCTTTATTAAATTGCCAGAGTGCAATATTTGTTTCTTAACAGAATCTTGACTCATAGAGAGGACAATTTCCTTAAACTGAGAAAAAATATCTACCACAAAATTAGTTTTTCTTTTTGAGACAGGGTCTCACCATGCACTTTAGGCTGGCCTTCAATTCACTATGTGGCCCAGGCTAGCCTCAAACTCATGGCAATCTTCCTACCTCAGCCTTCCAAGTGCTGGGATTACAGGTGTGCCCCACCACACTCTGCTGGTCATATTTTTTTTTTTTGGTACCAGGGATCGAACTCAGGTCCTTGCGCTTGCAGAAGCAGGCAGGGGAACCACTGAGCCAAATCCCTAGCCCTGCTGGTCATATTTTAATAGAGAAATGTTATAAAGAATTACAGGAAATGAGTTAAGTGACACCACGATTGCTTCTATTCAGCATTAAATTAAGAGATTCTTAATAAAAGAATATGGACTCAAAATAGCCAAAAATTTAGAATCACAAAAGATATTAACTGTCTATAAAGGCCTAAAGGGGCTGGGGATTTAGCTCAGTGGTTCTGCCGCCTGCCTCAAAAGCGCAAGGTCCAGAGTTTGATCCCTGGCACCAAAAAAAAGAAAGGCCTAAAGTCTTTCAGATACATACAATTTAATACAAATTCAGGAATACACAAATATCTATTTTATTTTTATATATTAGAAATCATTATAAAGAGTAATTTAAAAATATTGTAAACTATGAAAACAAAAAATAAGGCAATAAGGACAAATCCAAAAAATTATGTATATGACCTTTAAAAGTAAATATAAAACACTTTTTTCAAAAAGGAGACATTATAGGCAGAGGATGTAGGTTAGTGGACAGTACTTGCTTTGCATGTGCAAGGCCCTGGGTCCAATCCTGAGCACAATGGGAAAGAAAGCAGTATGTAACAGTAAAAACCAGCAATTCTAGGGCCAGGGATTTAGCTCAGTGGTTCTGGTCCCTGCTTCACAAGCACAAGGACCCGAGTTCGATCCCCCGTACCGGAAAAAAAAAAACAAAAAAAAAAACCCAGCAATTCTAATGTCAGCCTATCTTTCAAATCCTAGAGTTACCATTCACTGTTTATATGATTTTGCTACAATTATTTGAACTAATTATGCCTTAATGAGCACATCTGTAAAATGGAAGTCTTAGTTAACTTTCTCTCATTGCTGAGATAAAATACCCAACACCCAAAGTTAAAAGTTAAAAGGTTTATTTATCTCACAGTTTGTGGAGGTTTCACTTTATAATCAGTTGGCTCCACAACAGCATGGCTTGGCATAGGGGCTTCACAGAGGAGAATAGTTTATGGAAGCCACAAGGTAGAAAAAGCAATAAGGGAACCATAACAGTGTCTTTCTGCCCCTTTTATCTTATCCAGACTACCAGGATTAGGGTGGTGCCAAACCAATCCGTGCACTATTTAGTAATCACACGACCCTAATCCCAGCATCACACACTCCAGATGCAGCCACTTCTGAAAAAGCCACCTATGACCACATGAGGCTTTGAAAGGACATCTAGACCCAAACCATAACAATGGGCTAACAACAAAATTGAGCCCATAGACTGTTGTGAGGATTAAATAATTAATATTGGTGAAGAATTTACACCAGTACCTGGCACAGTGTTACAAAAGTGTTAAATAAAATACAGAATAGAGATAAATGCTATGGAAAAAAACACTCAATACAGTAAAAAACATCAATTCTCCTTACATTAATAGTTTGTTTATCTGAACAAGAAAAAGAAAATTCAAAAAAAAAAGAAAAAAAAAAATTCAAGAGAAAAAGGATAAAAGAAAATTCATAATTACAGATGAGATAGTATTTTTACCTATTAGATTTAATAAAAATGGGAAAAGATGATATTCAGTATTAACTGTACTCTATAATACACTTAGAACCTATTGTAATATAAACTAAAGAGCAATTCAGGAGTACCTACCAACATTTAGAATGTTCAATTTCACATGCTAATCCAACCTATAAAACTTATATATACATAAAAATGCTTACTATCACTGCTACATTGTTTTAATGACAATAATTCTGAAAAAATTTTAACATCCATTTATACAGTTAATTCATCCACTGCAATATTATGAACTATTAAAGTAAATGAAGCACAACTCTAAGTACAGACGTGGTATGTTATTAAAGGAAAAAAAGCAACCTGTAAGATCTTATATATAATTTGTGATGGTAAAATATATATATATTTTTGATAGAAACATCCCCCCCAAATA